GCACCCAGCTCTACCCAGTGATCGGTTTCTCGCATTTTTTTCATCTATTTTTCGTAACGTTATTTTTTTCAATCCGGACACCGAATCCCGTGCGTTATCGCAACGCGAATCAGACGCGCGGCCATCAACCGGATGTCCAGCTTGAAAATCACTCCCAAGGCGACGGTTACCAGGGAATTTCGAATTACGCAGTTTCCAAATAAAATTCGTGGTCGTGCTGATTGCTAGGTTATTGGAATACAATCGATCCTAAAGTTCCGAACTGTGAAAACCCTCGAACATTTCAATTTCCTTTACCACGGTGCTCCAAAAAAATGAATAGGCAGATAATTAGTTCTAAGAAAGGGTTTCGTGTAACGACGGACATCGATTACCAGTGCAAATCGGTTCTCGTAGTCATGGAAACGTTCGCCTCTTTTCATCGAATCTCGTCAGCATCCTTGGCACAATACCTGGTCCTGCTATTGCTCCTCTATTACTTGGTCGAGCCATGTCTGTTCTTCGATTACTCGACGTCTCCCGTTTTGGCTTTACTTTTTATCATCGTCGTCCTTGTATCGACGTCCCCTTTCACCTTCTTTTCTCCCGTATTTCGCGTTATTAAGGGTCATCCTATCGGTGCTGTATTCAGTCGAGCCGGGATCGATTTTTGCCTCTTGCGAAACATGCATGTACCTGCAACCCTCGGGACGACTCGCAGGATAAGAATAACTCGACGAGGCCGAATGGCGTTTTTTCGCTCGAACGACGCTCCTCGCGCGTGTACCTCGCTGCGAAAAGAAACATTGTACTCTGGAAGCAAAGGAATTCATGGCAACGCACCCTGTCACGTTTTCGTTGCCGTTTCATTCTCCGTGCAACCAATGGACCGCGATTGAAATTGCATTTATATCGATTCATAACATCGCGGCGTTACAAAAGTTGCTACCAAACCATAAATACAGACCGAATCCCCCAGTTGCCACTCAAATACCATTTTCGCCATCTTCTATCATCGCATCCCGAGACTATGTGTTCCGGTCTTGTCGCAAGTATAGGACACAGTGATCGAACTGTCCGAGCAAATCAGTGTACCGTCCGATACGCGCGAGACTCGCCGAGCTTCTGTTTCTCCCCTTGTCTCTCGCTCGTCATTGCTGTCTCTCTCTCTCTCTGTCTACCTCTCTTAGAAACGCGTACATACCAACAGAAGGCAATGACAGCTCTCGTGACAGCCACACGACGTTTGCGGGTATTCCATTAGGCATGTAATTATCGTTCGTCATGCAAGATGCGCGACTAAACGACACCGCTGAATGGTTTTTTTTTTTCGCGGGTTCGTCCGAGATCTTAAAGAGAACGAAACTTATAATTTAAAAGTGATTCTTGTTTATAAATGAACAAGCAACCGTTTAAACATACATTTCTCTAAACTTTTGATTTGCTTTTTCGCAAAGAATCACCGGTTGCGACTGCGATAAATAGAACATCGTGCATGACTAATTAGAAATACGAAGCGCGACGGTGTTGCGATCTCGTTAATTAAGACATCCAACCGTTTAATTCGCGCAACGATAATTTTCATCCTTACTGTCATCGACGTCAGCGAACCGTTTAACGACGCGACCCGAATAATTGCTACAAATCGGGGAAACGGAAGATTTTCTGTTGCATTATTTCGTACAATGATTCCTAAGTATAGTTACACTTCCATAGAGGGGTAGAGAAGAAGAGAGGGGAGGAAAAGGTGACAGGAGAAAGAAAAGAAGATCTCCTTTTATTCCCCTCTTCGCCTCTTTCTCTCGCAATCGTGGTTATCCACATCGTCTTGTCGCTTGCGCTTACGCACAGATAAAAATAGAAAGAAGAAGAGTGTATGATAAAGATAGTGGGAGGAGGAGAGGGTAAATACTCTTTCTCCTCTTCTTCTCCATCAACCATCCTCGCCACCGTTTTGACGCTGCCAAAGTAGCATAACCCTGTAATGGGTCGAGCAAAAAGTTCGTTTCACCCCGTCGTGCCGTCTCTGTGTTCTTCGTATATCGAAACTCATCCTCGCTTACGGTAGCGCCGCTGAAAGCCAATCCTGATCATTCGCGCGTACTATATTATTTTTACCTTCGCAACTAGAGCGGCGAAATACGCAAGCGTTATCAAACACGGCTTTGTCTAACTTTAATTGAAAATATTGGAATAAATCTTCCAATAGACATTGTCGGGCGAAACTGCCGCACCACCGTTCTGTACGGGCATTGCGCGAAGAGATAGGGGTGAGAGCGGCTGCAAGAGCCGAAGGGAAGCTTGGAGCGAACAACTAGAGGCGAGGGGTGTGAGTAACTGGATGGATGCTAAGTAGAACAGGGATGCGAGCATCGGCGAGCGGGCCAGAAGAGGTAAATAGCCATTTGTGGCTGAGTTTGCAGCAAAGGTTCGCTGCTCAAAAATGGAAGCCGGTTCGCAGTCAGCCAACCGTTTTGACAATTCGAATCAATCCCGTGGCGATACTTCCACACCACCCTTCATCTCCTCTCACCGACAGCCTCACTTTTATTTCGTCGGAACAGTATATGCTCGCCTTTTTTTCTTTGCGTGCTGCCCACGCCAGTATGCACAAAGCGATAGGTTATTATCGCGCCGCCAGTTTCGACCGTCTCGGATTTCAATTAGCAATTTTTTGAATGGATTTCGAGGAAGCACGTTTTCGAAACTACGCTCGAGGACACGTTCCAAGAACAGAAATGCACTCCATTACACCATTCCTTTCGCGTAGGTGCCGTCTTCTTGTCGGAGAAGCGTTTTCGGCTCTAACACATGTCTGGAAACGTTGGAGAATTACTCAACGAAACATTTTACCCGAAGTCTGCGCAAGAACCTCTTTCAATCTTTCGACGGCCCTCGTTCGGAGACCCGGTAATGAGGATAACGAATCGTTGTGATGGCGGAAGACAACCGGTCGTTGTCGATGCCCCGGCGAGGACGCCGCCGCTTTGGAATTCGAAGCGCGACAGGCTACATAGGTAGACACGAGCGTCGACGGTTATCGGAGTCGATCATTCAATTTTGCGCTGCAAATTGTCCGCGCCGGAAACTCATATCCGGGCACTTCCGGTTCTCCCTGGTTCCGCCCCCGGCGAGAGGAGTCTCGCGAAAGGGTGGGTCGACCGAATGGCGGTTTTAAATCTGGTAAGAGAGAGAGCTCGAAATACGGAGAACGGAAAGAGGAGAGAGAAACGCTAGGGACAGACGACAGAGAATCGAGGAACGAAAAGGCCGTATGTTGGACAGGCAGGGATTCTGGGCTCGGATGAGCGACGAGTTCGCTTCCGGTTGATTACACGTCAGTCTGGTAGGACTGCTCTCGTCATTAGCGACTTCGTCGATGATGGAATCTCATCTATGCACCGTCTCAAAATTGAATTTCGTAGCGCGAAAGACTAGAAGAGCAATGTTAAATCCTGTAGGGCAACTTTTACGTCATATGCGTTACGAATTGAAGAGGATAGATCGTCGTTAAAATAAGTCGCACCAATTCTACTTCATCTAGCAGACAATGGACGTCGACCGCGACGAATCCACGAGCAGTCGTGGCGCTCGATTTGCTGTTTTCAACTTTATGCATATAAAAAGATAGGTGACCGACCACTTCTATCCCCTCGGAATCACAGATAAAGTGTGGTTATTAATCCGAACATCACTATTCAGCGCGGCGCTCCCGTCAAACCGGCGGATCTAGCTGAATTATTCTCGTCAACCCGAATCCTATTGGGAATCGAATCCACGCTTGTGTCACTTTGGGTCCCGTTCGCGATCCTTCACTCTTTGTTTTCGTAGATTGTTCGCGGTGACCGAACCGTGAAAAGGGAGAAGCGTAACCATGGAATCGTTTACGCCTAATCGAAAACAGACCGTCGGCGTCGCCGAGGCTGTTCGCGCGGAAGAGAACGAAAGTGACAAGGACAACAACGTGCTAGCGCAAATCAGGATTTGTCGAATCGATCGACTCGTGCATCGGAACGATAATTAGGCTCCGAGTACTAACTATTATCGGCTGCACCTACAATTAGTGCCTTTTAGCGAGCACGGTCTAAATTTTCGAACTGTTTCGGCAAACACGGCGTGCCGTTTCGCGCGGATGATGATATTGTTAATCAACGGCTTACACTCCACTCAACCGGCTCGTTTGTACGGATTACGCGTCAGAAAATCAGCCTATAAACTCACCGATCGCCGCGGAAGTCTCGTAAAATTATGCAGAACGCGCGGCCGCCTTTATGAGAACGTATAGATACGCGTGCACCGACCTGGACGCCGATTACATGTCTCCTGATCAACGCAGATGCCGCGAACACTCGTTACGTTTACGTCACGATCCGCGGGATTCGATGGCCCGTAACGTTATAATCATCGGTTCCCGCGAGCCGCGCGAACCATCAACGGCTTTAGGGGCTGAAAATGCCAAATATGTTCGTGATTTCTTGCTCCGATTATTCCTAAAACCGCGAGAGAAATTGAATTCCGAGGTAATCAAGCAATACAAATGCAAATGTCGGGGCCACCGAATCGCCGCGGTACCGCCATTCCGCATTTCGAAATATTCCGCATAAATAAACAATCGCGGACGACGAATTACATTCATTTAGAACAGTGGTGCGCAAAGTCGATTCGCCTCTTTCATCGAGTCCATTCAATTCGCGGAATGCGAAAGCTAAAACTTTTTCGTGGCTATACCCTTGCCAATTTGTTCTCCAGCGCTTTCAGCGACACCGATTTCTCTCGGTAACGAAGAATATCGTGCATCGCTCATTTTGGAAATCAGTGGGGGAACGTGTTGTCGTTGAACCGATCGAGTTAATAATGCAAAGTCTTGGTCCCTATTTAAGCGATCCATTTGTACAAAAATGAGCGTTTTCCCACCGTTTCTCGCAATCTCTCGCTAATTTCGCGACATCGGTCTGTTTGTCGTTGACCTTCCGCGCCGCCTTGTACAGCAGCTGCATCATTTCGTATTTTCCATCAGAAGCGCGCGAACCACGGTCCAAGGCGCCGACGATTACCAATTTGTCTAATCGCGAAGATAGATACGAGTTTCTTCGGAATACGGAAGCGGTGACGATGGCGCGATAAAACTGTGATAGGTTCAGTGCTTCATCCAATTGACACCGATTTGTTGCGCAAAGCGACAATTTGTGGACAAATTTAAGACGACATCAGCCAATTTGTCAACGTGAAAGGTAATATCGCGTCTGTTGTATTATGCAACGCGTTCGATCGTCACTCGTGCATTTATCCGTTGATGGACACGTGACACGCTTATCGTTCGGAAAAGAGTAGCGGTATACCTCGGCAACCTATTTACCAAGAATGTTGGTGCCAGGATTCGAATAAGGACTTTTCGTTCGACGACCGTTCTACCGATTCAGCTGCATTGTTAATGGATTCTGTCCCTCGGAGAGTATCGCTCGAAAACGAGTGCAGCTTACAAAAGATACTCGTTGCTCGAGATTTCGCTGCGACGTCGCGCGACGCACCGTCGACGGACGCATGAAAGCGGTTGCCTTTCCGCAAAGGCACGCTAGAAGTGGCTTTTGTGCGATTCACGTCGCGAGAACAGTTGGGCATTACCGAGTCTAGCCCACGGCGGACCGTTTCCCTCGACTGACGCGCCGATAACGTGCCACGGTTCACCGGGATTCGTTTAACGCGATTCATAGAGGAGTCGGGGAAGTTGGTCCGGTTACACGACAGCTAGTGTCGACCGTACCGTCGACACAAAGTCGGGAATTGCCTCCAATGTAGTAGGAATTCCAGTTCATCGTCTCCAACGCGTCCAACGAGCTACGCGTCCCGACCGAGAACAATACACTCGTCTCCGACGAGCCTTCCACGTCGCGAGGGTGAGACAATAATTTTATCCGCCAACGTATTCGTATGACTTGGTATACCAAAAATAGAAACCTCGCGGTAATACCGTTTTTCAATAGAGTCCTTTCGTTGCGCAAACTCTTCCACAATTGGAGAAAAAACTATTTCAGATTACACGCAGGGGACTGAAAGTGAAAACGAGCATTTTTAACGAGAGTTACCTCGAATTGTTGACTCTCCCTCGTACCAGAGATTGGAAGGTGTTCGGAAAAATTGTTGCCGCCGGGCTTTCGATCGAGGCTGAAAGAAACGCTTTCTTCTAGACGCTTGAACGCGACGAAGCGCGGCGAAGAAAGAAGTTGGCCAGCCTACTAAAAATTCAAAACGCGAGCGAATTTTCCCGGGAATAAATTTCCAAGTTTTCTACGCGAGAACAGCCGAGCAAATACAGCACGGCGAGCTTACCCAACCCCGGAACGAACTAGAAAGTTTGACGCATTGCCGGTGAATAAACCGAAACGATTGTTACGCAACGTTTGTCAGAAGAAAGAAGAAAAGAACTTTCAACGTACGTTGCGTGTACGTACATTCTGGTATTCCGAAATGATAATAAGACGAAGGGAAGGCACGCTGCTTAGTGATATCGCGTTTAGTCCGTTACAGTAACTTGCATTTTGGTCGCTAATGGGATGAACGCGTTATCTTTTTCAGGCTCCTTGCATTCATCGATTTAGGAGAGCATCGATAGACTATGAATATTACGACAAAGTAAGTAACGCTTGGAATCAAATTTTCATGACGCAGTGCGACATAATTTTGATCGAATCAACGTTACAGTCCCGACTTTAGAAATCGGGACGCGATGCCATCGATACCTTTATCGTCGGATGCCGATGGAAAAGACTACCTCGCTTCTTCTCGAGGAAGAAACTCGCACCTCCGAAGACAAAGCATGTCTCTGACTGCCATTATAAACCATAGAAGAGGTCTCCTCGGGTAATATCGACTCGTTTTCAAATTTTCCTTCGTATTTTTCGTTCATCCTCGGGGACACGCGCGAATCACTGCCTCTGTTATTAACAACGTATCGAAGCTAAAATAAAATAGCTCTCCCGCACGGTGCGCCGTGAAACGCGGTCGAACTGGAACGCGAGTAGCGTATAATTTTACGATCATTGAATTCAGTTTTCGAGCGAAATATTTTCGTGGCGGGATGCATCACCGATTCGTTTAAATTTATATCGTCCAGTGTATCGGTGCGAAAGCGACGGACATTGCGCTTTCGTGAATACAGTCTGTCTAACAAGAGCGCGGTCGACATAATTTACATGCGTTTTAATGATGTACAATTAATTCCATTCTATTTACTAAACACTACGAGTCATTACAACGCCATCTTAATTCAAACTAATTGCATTTTTTTAAATGGTAACGTTTTCTCCTTTCGACAGAGCGTTGATTTCAGGTATAGGCAGCAACATGTCGCTGCCGTCTTGCATGCCCCAGGATCAAGAATTCTTAACGGGACAGCCTCCTGGGCACAAGGCTGGGCAAATGCCGCTTCTGAACAATCACAGTCACATGGAGAAGTACGACGACGCGCAAAAGCAACGACCGAACTTCTTACCTTTGACTCCCGTCAACACGGCCTGCGTACCTATGAACGCTCTGGAAGCCGCGAGAAGTAAGGGCATCGCGCATTCCAATAGTGCGAACATCTTGCAATTGCGAGAATGTTCCGAAACTTTGTTCACAGCTAAACAGCAGATCGTGGAGCAACAACAGAAATCTGCCGAGAGGCGAACATGCCACAAGGAAATGATATCGATCATGAGCACCCTATACGCGAAATTACTGATCGTCATTGGAATCGCCGTGCCGGTCTCAGCCAGCGGGACTCAAAAAGTCCCTCCATCTCTGAGTCAGGTCGGTGACGAAAACTCCTCACGTTTTTCGCGTACTACGTCATATCTCAACGCCAATGAATTGAGTGATCGATTTGACGCGGAACGACTCAAACATCACGAGCTTCGCCAACGGTCAACTTCTATGAACTAATAAACTAATTTATTTCGGCAGGGATTTTACCTCTATCTGTATTTGGTCAGCGTCGCTTTCGTGATCGCGATGTACGTCATCGTGCTGAGGGACAAAGCCGTGAAAAACTTGACGCAGAAGAACGAGAAGAAACAGCAGACTTTTGCATTCAACGAGAAAGGCGAACGCGAGAACATCGATCAGGTAATATTTCTATGTTCGGTTGTAAACATTTTCAGAATTGAACAATATCAAATCTAGGACACATCGTAGATCGTTCTCTTTCGATGATGCCACGTATAAAAGAATAGTATAAGGGAACACTTCGATAGCCTAGTTAGGACCGCGCTAATCCGTGGCTCGTTCAGCGTTTTCTAATTAGCATGGCGCGTTCAATTACGCACCGCGTACAATGAAATCTTTCTTCCCCAGACGCAACAATACGGCAGCTTTTGTCTAAGGCTCGGCGCAGTGGGATTTGGCGCCGGCTCGCTGGTATTTACGGGATTGCAAATTGGAGCGGAAATAGCTTCCGGCCCGTTTAGGGCGATTACACCGGGTGCCAGACTGCTGTTGGTCACAGCTCAAATGCACTTCATATTCCTCAACAGCAAAAGTCTCAATCTGTCCAAACACACGGCCCTCGCGAAACTAGGCCTGATGCATATGATTGCGACCAACCTTTGCGAATGGTTACAGGTAATCATCTTTACGGTAACAGTAATTGTTTTTGGAACACTGATCGTTGACAAAATGTAACGTCACGGTCCGAAGCGAAAAATGGATGAATACCGCTGATATTGAATACATTTCGATAATCTTTTAATTCGAACGCGGTATCGATAAACCGTATTTAGCATTTATCAAAGTCGAGCCAAATGTTTATTCCAACGTTTGCGGAAACGTATACCCCGTCAACGGTGACCAGAGGCTCGTATCCGTTTTCCAGGGGTAATCGAAGTAGCCGTGTTTGTCAGCATCGAAATTATACCGATACCGAGATTTTAATCACGTGCGCGGAAACGTGATACATATTAACAGAAATTCTATAGCTTCGATAGTCTCGGTTCGATGTTGCTTGTACGAGAACGGCGGAATCGTGAATTTTTCACGCATTCTCAGCCATTCCGTTTGTTTTCTCCAAGGCGCTCGTCGAGGAGACGCAGCACGAAATCGATCAGCTGGGCCCTACGCACGACGATGAGGATGGGATCTTGAAATCTCTTTTGAGAGACGCGAGTCCGTTCCTTTTTCCATGCACAATCGAATTCAGTTTAATTTGCGCGGTGATACTGTTCGAGATGTGGAAGAGGGTGAACGAGAAGATCGATGCAAAGGGCGAGACACCGACGAGATCTTCGTATCATCTTAGCATAGATTGCAGCAACTCTCACAGGTCAGCCAGGAATTTAATTAAATCGATAAGACCGTTCCGTTAATTTGTTAATGCGATATCGTTGAGATTTTAAAACGCGTCGTCTGTGCGCGTGCACCTCTGCTTTATCACTGTAACGTTTTTCAGGGGTCTTTTCGGCGGGATTCTGGTCGTCGCCGCGACGATACTAAGCCTGATTATGTTCTTCGTCCTGAAGGAGGCCAAAATGAACATAGCGATCGTACAGGTGACCGCGCTAGACGCGACGATACTCGCGCTAGGTAGATAACCATTTCACGATATCGTAATATGTATACCTGTAATCTCTGTAAAACCATGTAGCGTGTTTGTAAACGTGAAACTTACAGGCATGATTGCATCTATCGCTGGAACTCTGAAGTTGCAAGCCTTACAGCAAAAGATCATCAAGCCATCCGAGTTGGACACAACGTTATTGGCCGCGGCTCAAGCTGGAGTCTATCTTCACTGTTTATTCGGAGTCGTCGGTGACGTATTAACGATGGGACAGATCTGGGTGCTGTCACTTTTTACGGACTTGTTGGCCCTGCTACAGAGCACGAGCCAAACTTTGCTCATTAAAGTAAGATACTAGATCGTACCGTCGAGGATCGTAGTAATCCCACACGAGCGCTTTCAATTTCCGTGAAATTCGTAGATCGCGTGGGGAAGACGTTGCTCGAAGAACGACAAGCCTGGCAAGGAGCTGATCACTTTCCTGATAGTCGTCAACATCGCCCTGTGGACGGTGAACACTCTTGAAAAATCCCGCGCCGGTGTCAGACCCGATCATTTGCAGTTCTTCGGCGTTTGGGCGTGGACGATCATTACGCACGTTTCTATGCCGCTCGCTATATTCTATCGATTTCACTCCGCCATATGCCTGTTCGAGATATGGAAAACCTGTTACAAGTGCAGATCCACCAGCGTACTGCAAACACCGTATTGAAATCATCGATCCATCACGGACGATCGAGAAGCGTCTCTTTTGTACTTTACGCATCCATGAATTGTATAAACAACGAATATCGTTTAACTCAAAGGTCGCGCGCTACGTGGAAAACAAATTCGAACGAGCATGGCGAAAATTGCGTTCCTCTCGAACCATCCCTTCGATTACCAGGTTATTAAAAATAGAAAAAACGCAAGGAAGACAAACGAGAAAGCAAGCGGTCTATCGCAAATAATAACGTTACAGGGCACGAAGAACAAAGTTCCCCGCGATGTCTGCTACCCTGCTCCCGTGAGGAACTTTTATTAAGCCAGCGCGCGACAAAAGGCACATAAGAGGGGTTGCACCGATGCTTTGAGACATCCGACAGGATGCCACGGTTGCCGAATCGATAGAGGTGCGTACTCTTTCGTCGATGTACATGGGAAAAGACACGGAGTAACGGTGATGGTGGAGGTCGACAGTTTGATACGGTTTACGGTAAACACATTTGGTAGCAATCACATCACGGGGCCAGCCAAGCCTCGCTGCAGCGAGAAGTAGGTGATGCTTCGGTGGTTGGAGAAAGCGAGCGAACGGTGGGTGAAGAGGCTCTTAGCCAACCCTTTGTTGCTCCTGCCGCCACTATTGCTTCCCCGCACCCGTCCTGAACGTAGTGGAGGCTCTACTCTTGACCAAAGGCCTCTGATTTACTTAGCCTATCGAGTGCTCTCGAACTCGTCCGCCAAGAATACCGTGTATACAACCAAGCCGTGTACGCCGTGTTCCGAAATTTCGAACTTAATGCTCCACTTACTGTCCTCCTGCCTTCCGCGAATCGTGATTGCGGACCTCGATCGTACTACATCGTACAATTAAATTTCCCAACGAATTTAAAAGTAAACCGAACAACTACATTTAGTACACCCCCCTCAGCGCTTTAGGATAATTGTAATTATTCGGCAGAATAATACAAGAAACGCGAGTCTTCGACGATAGACGGAAAAAAAGGGTGTTACTACCGCGTCAACGGTTCCTAACGCTCGCCATAGACTCTGTTACTTTTTTTTTTGCGGATTTAACGAGGATTTACCGCTCCTACGACCCCTACCTTGCCAACCCACCACTACTACTACGGGTACAATCTGCAGCACACGCGTAGAGATCTTTCTACGTCGAAGTGCACGAGAAATCCTAGATTTCCAGAGCTAGCTGAATACGGGAAACGTTAGCGCACGTTCAGATTCGTTTTCAAGAATTTATTCGGAACGGTGGCTTCCAGAATTTCGCGACGAATCTTCGATGCATTTCGTCTTCAATTATTATGTTTGATTTCGTGTCAAAAAGGAAATAGAATACGAAACGTTTACGATTTAAGAAAAACCCAAGATTTGAAACAATTCGTAGACCTACGTTTCCGTGTCACTTCTTCCAAAAAGTAGCGACTTTTCGCGACGTCGCGGCTGACCACGGCGAAATCTTGCGATTTATCGGGTTTACCTATCCATCCCTAAAACCCCCCCGTCGATTCGAAAGTCCGTGATGGAAAAGGGAACAGGTGGCAAGAAGACGGAGAACGCGGCGCCGCGACGAGGCGAACCTTGATATATCCGCCAAACAGAAGGAGCTGGAACGCCTGGGCGGATTTATCGGAGTTGCGGATAATGGATGGTCTATACCGGCGGGGGAACTTTTTTTTAAATAATATAACGTACAACAAGCGGAGAGCGTTCGATGAAATGCGCTTACACCAGCTGGCAACGGAAAAACGCTTTCCACTGTCGCGAATACAACGGCAAAATAATTTTCCGCGAAAGTACACGTAACGCGATTTTCTCGTCCGCCGACGATTACTAGGTCAACGAAAATATATCGAACACGAAATCGTGGGCCGTTCGAAACGAAATTATCTCGTGAATGCGTAGCGTAAAGGGTAAGCGGCGATATTTATCTCGACCCAATTAAGTACGCGGAGCTTTAATGAATTTTCTATATGTCTGCTGCGCCGCGACGTAACCGGCATTATTAAAGAAGAAATAAAAACATGGATCGAAGGGAGAAACAATCACCGAGAAGCAAATTATTCGGTCCTGTCGGTGGTGCGCGGAGGAAAAATGAACGACAGCGGTATTGGCAGAACAACTACCAGACAAAAACCAGCATCGGAGGTCGTCGATTGGACGATCCTCGGGAATGTATTTAATTCGATTGATCTTTGCAGCCATCTGGACGAGACAAGAAGGACGAGAGGCAAGAGGGTGACTATTCGCTGCTAGGGAGAGGGAACCTCTGTTTCCGCCGGAAATGAGGCCTTCGCGACTCGCACTCCCACCCTATTTTACCTCCACCCAAAAGCTCTTTCGTGCCACCCTTCTATCTACCTGTGGCCGTTGCCCTAACCGATCCTTCTATCGCGCTGTATCTCGGGAGCGAGGACGCAAATCGTATTTATATTCCATCTCTGACGCCCAGGTAAATATTTTGAGCAACTACCGGTTACGGTGTATCGTGCGAAACCGGTTCTCGGAAAATCATTCGAACGCCACTTTAATACGCAGGATTATTATACATTCATCCAATCATCACGGCTCCCAATACCTTCCCAATCCCCGTCGAGCAGGACTCATCGCCGAACGAGGATCACCTTTTTTAAATATTTCGATTATAAATATTTACCAGCGGAGCGAAATTCGAGTTCGAATCCGAATGTGTAATTGAAAATTGCTGAAGAGCCTCGCGGACCAGCGATATTATCGATATCGTTTGCTTATTGCGATTTATTCGAAATGCGAGACTGTTTACATAATGGAAAAATTAAAGTTTAAGGAGTTGCTTGAAAAAATTGCTTTAGAGCCTCAAGTTGTATTCTTCGACAACTTCTATCATCGGAAAATGTTCGAGATGTAATCGTGTGATCTCAAGATTATGGGAAATGCGATTAATTAAAGAAACGAAGACTTAAACGAATCCTGTTTTTGTGCGGAAGTATCGTACCATGTTTACTTTCGCGTAAAGAGAAGTTTAATAAAATTGGGGTCGCGGACGATACGAAGAAAAGTCAAAAGCTGGAAAAGTTCGCTAATGCTCTCTTACCTCGCAGCTACGCGTGAATGTCAGTTGCTCGTCGAGGATGTAATTTTCGCTGTATACCCGGATTAGAAGCCGGCTCGTCGAGCTCCGCGTTCTATCGCTTGATAAGTATTGGCTCTCGTACCTCTTGAATACGGTGGAACTGGAAAAGGGATTCCGAGATGATTTCAAAGCGATCGATTGGTCTCGTCGGTGACGTCACGGGTCGCAGCGATATGCGGCCGTTATGTCTCGTTGGGAATCCACCTACCCGTAATAGCACGGATTAATGATAAAAGCCTAAGAGTAGGACAACCATGCAGGCCGATGCAACGTAAAAGCTATTATTATGGGAAGCTATCAATGCTACTTGGGTGGGTTTGATTTTACTTAACGCTTCGAAAATCTAAATCTTGGGAAACTAATGCGCGTATATCTGAACCTGTATGATAGATCCATAATTGCATGACTTTGATATTCAGTTTTTACAGTAAGCGATGCGACGAATATTCCTTTTGGAAACGTTGTTACATTAGCAGACGTTATAGTACGTTCTTTCGATGAAATCGATAGCTATTTGAAGAATACAAATTGCTGCTGCTGCTGCTCGAGTGAGAGAGACAGAGAGAGCAGGATGCGCAAAGTTACCGTTCCTGAAAAGAGGACAAAACTTTTACTAGACGGTATTTCTTAAAATCAGATAAGCGGATTATTGGGAGATTTGATAAAAAAAAAATCGACGTAAGATACTCTTTCTAGCCGTTTCAATTTCAAACATCAAAAGGTTTTGTACCGATAATACGCGTACGTCGGTAATTAAATAGGTCTCCGTATAGGTAGAAAATAAATTTAGCAAAATAATGTTGCATATTTTATGGTTTTTATTTATTCAAGCACTTACGACTATAAGTTACATTGTCACATAATGTGTAACCGACAGAATAAGAAAGGTTCGATAGCTCCTATTTTTAGGTCTTCATTTCAAACTGAATATATGTCGCAGTATAAACTTGATGCTCGTGCGGTAGCATTCTAAAAACTTTGCGTTTAAAACAAATTTTCAGTTCTCTCGTTTTGATGCTGACACTCGTAGCTTGCTACAGATTTTCTGCTCCAATATAACACCAAATTGTTAATTGTTGTTCGCACATAATTAAACTTGCGTCGGCTTTGACATTCTTGAAGGTTCCGATGTTTGTTGCAGTTGAACACATTTTGCTAATGTCCATATCTAAATTAAATGCAAAAAAATAATTTACTTAAATAGAAATTTATACGCGCGGAAAACGCGAGATTCTCGTGTGCTTTTCCTACGAACGCACAAACGATTTTGAAAAGCATTAAGAAGCCAGATGTGTATCTTTGTAGGTGTTACTCACTTTTGAAACTCCCACTCCCGGTTGTCTAGTGGACAAACTTGTCGAGTCTTCAACCAACGTGAGATGCAATGGAAATGGAATGCATGCTATGCAAAAAATGATCAAAATATTAAAATAAAAAAAAAAACTATATAGGTACTGCGATCGATACTAAGTGTGTATCGTAAAAAAAAATGGTAAAAATGAAATATGTACATTGCATACACCCCAAGCTACGGTACATTCTTCGCTAGTAGCTGATGCTTGATTTGCTTGACACTCTATACATAAATCCATTATGTGATTACGACAGATAGCACAATTGTCTACCACGATATCTGAAAAAATAATTGAACGTGTACTTAATAGTAAATTCGTACATAAAATGTCAAAATGAAAATTGACAGAAATGAATAAAAATAACAACATTTTTTGATACATACCCCATGCCCAAAGAGCCACAGCGTTCCACTAAAACGTAGAATTTCGTACTTTTAAATAAACCTTGATACAAACCATGTGAGTATAGTACAAATGACAATGCGATAATAAGGTTAGAATTTAACAATCATATTAATAAAGTGTATAAAATTCGTATATATTTCGTAGAACATGTACGCAAAATTTTGTCTTACCTTTTTAACTTCAAAACGTTTTTTCTCTCCTTTACTGCTACTAGAAGTTGGTAAATCACTTTCTTCATCGTCGATATCCATTGCCGACGCCATGTTTAGAATTTGATGTTGATGGCAACCAACTGACATCTCGTGTAAGAGATTGAAAGTACAAGTACGACGCACCATTCACTGGATTAGGATAGACATTTACTTATTCATTAAATATTTTTCTTATACGGTGGAGTGTTATACTATTTCAAAATTAATACTTTAATCTTGTTATTAAGAAATATTTGAAAATCAAAGTATCGATAACAAAAGTTCACGTTGTGATGGTGACAATGTATCGATATTAGGTTATGTTATCGTAAGAGGAACTACTAATTACTGAAAAAAACATGACAGTTACCTCGATCGCTTGAGAGCTGGATAGGAATTTTGAGTAATTTTGCGTGGATAGAAGATTTTTCATCGTATGTTTATGATCTGAATCGCATCGTAAATTATACTATACGATGAGGCGTAAGGCAGGCGTTGGCGCGATTCAAAAACAAAAGTTGGAACAGGAAAAATATAAGGATAAAGGTACGGAGATCCAAGAAAATCAGTTCGAGCAAATGACGAAGCAGATGGAAACTTTCCGCGTGAATCTGGAGGAATTTGCAACAAAGCATAAAAGTGATATTAAAAAAAATCCACGGTTTCGACGGGAATTTACTGAGATGTGTGCATCAATTGGTGTAGATCCTTTAGCCTCAGGAAAAGGCTTTTGGTCAGTTCTTGGCATAGGAGATTTCTATTATGAACTTGCTGTGCAAATCGTTGAAGTTTGCATGGCTACAAATTATAAAACTGGTGGTTTGATTTCATTGGATGAACTTAGAACAAAATTGATTCAAGCTAGAGGTCGTAAGGAACAACATCAAGAGATAACAAATGAAGATTTATTAGCAGCTGCCAAGAAATTACGTATTTTTGGAAGTGGATTTTCTGTTGTTCCTATCGGTGGAGGTAAACACATGGTCCAATCTGTGCCAGGTGAATTAAGCATGGACCATACCGCTGTATTACAAGGAGCTAGTACATCTGGTAATGCATTTGTGTCAAAGCCTATGTTATGTAAACATTTGCGATGGGAACCAGATCGTGTTCAAAAAGCCTTAGATCATATGATAAAAGAAGGACTGGCATGGTTGGATGAACAAGGTGAAGATGAGGTTTTGTATTGGTTTCCAAGTTTATTCACAGCGTGTATTGCATCCACAGAATAAGTACAATATCGACTATATCACTAAGAGATGGATAATTTTTAATAAAAACAAAAGAAGTATCTATAGTGAAAAATGTATTTCTAATGCAAATAAATTTACATACTCTTATAATATGTACACATTCAGATATTTGATGTAAAGTTTGTTTAGGTAGAGAAAAATATTGTCACCTGATTTCACTTGTAGTGTTAAATCTAAAATGAAATACATATTTAGTTATTTGAGAATGTAGTATCATTATAAAAATATATTAAATACATACTGTCGTATGTCTTGCAACATATGTTGTGCCATTTGTTGCTTACAAGTTAACAATTCTGTACTTAATTCGTTATTTTCTTTCTGTAGTGTGCTTATTTTTCCTTTAAGTTCTTTAGTTTTTCCTTGAAATTTGACTGCCAATAATTTTGCCTCATCCCTCCATCTAAAATAAAAAATAATATCGTTAACAATAAAAAGTTATCACTTTCTATTCATCTATCAAATATCCATACTTTTTACTTAGTTTTTGATGAACTTGTACATGATGAATTAATTCTTTTGATTTTTTATCAAATTTTTCCTGCAATTTATTCATTTGATCCGAGAACACTGTTTGGCAGCAGTGACATTTATTTTCCACCCTGGAATGGAAATATTACATGAAATATTATTTAAAATATTAATTGGCGTCATTTTCTTACGTTATATCCAAAGTACGCTTTTGTTTTATATCGAACAAATGCGGATTCGTTTCATCGACTATCGCATCTTGTAACTTATGTTCCTTTGTACAGCCTGTTTTCCGAAGATTAACTTCCAGTTCATGAATTTTATTCTCAAGAGAATGTCTTTCATTGTCTCTCCTTTGTATTTCATAATCAAAATCTTGTTTTAGCGATTTTAATTGCAATACGAGGTTTTCTTTAACACCTAATGTTTTACTCAATTGGCTTTCTAAATCCGAGTATTGCTTCATTATGTCCTTACTTTCACGATCAGCCTTTTTAATCTGATCTTCTATACTATGTTGTTCTAATTTTTGTAACTTATCGTTTGAAGTAACTAGTCCACCTTCGAGATTAGTAATTTTTTCTTTCAATTGTTTAATTTCCATATCGTACTTGTTTTTAGCTATCGCTTCGTCGTACACCTGTAACTGAAGTTCCAAACGTTTTGTTTTTTGCTCATAATCCAACAGTTTCATGCTAGAATCTCTACGAATTTTACTCAATTCTTCGTCGGTACATTTTAATTCTCTTTGAATTTTCTCTACTAATGCTGCCTTTTCTTGTAATTCCATTTTAAGCTCTTTAATTTCTGTTATATATTTCTTTGTGTTTAACTCAATTTCATCTTGAGTTTTTTTATTTAATTCTTGTATTTTCGCGTCGTATTCGTTTGCTATTACAGCTAAACGATGCTCTACTCGGGCTTTCTCTTCCAAAACCAGTGCTTCGCGATGAAGTACCAAATCCTTTTCCCTGACCGCTGATTCGATCAGTTCGATAGCTTCCGTCATTTTATTCTTTGTTTCCTTGTCCTTTTCCATTATATTGTCGGCGTATCTCTTAACCTCGTTCAATTTTTTTTCCAATTCCAATTTGGCTTGTACTATTTTATTGGTTTCTGCTTTAGCATAAGCTAGTTCCCTTTTCAATGTCTCTATTGTCACCTGATTATTCCTATCTTTTAAAACATAAGAATGATGTTTCTATTTATTGCAAAATATTACAAATATGTGTTACTGACCTTTATCTTGAGCATCTTTTTGTAAACTTTTAAATTTCTCTAAAAGTTCATTCTTTTCTTTACTTAAACTTTCAACTTTTTCTGTACTAGTCCGATACAGCAGTTCATGTTTAATAAAATTTTCTTTAGCCTGAGAAAGTTTTTCTTCCAACATTTTAATAGCTTCAGAATAACTTTTCTTAATAACATTTGCCTGTTCTTGATAAAATTGTGTACCTCTCTCATCCATACGAAGTCTCTTCAACTCTTCTTCCAAGGCACTTACAGTATTCAACGAAATATGCCATAATTGCAGAACCGAATCTTTCTCGGTCTCTAACAGCGCGATACGCTCCTGTAAATTTGCTATCTCTTTCTTATATACATCTTGGTTATCGCATTCTTCCACGTGAATACGATCGAAGGATTGTCGTATGTCATCAATTTTGTGACTCTCATTTCGCAAAACTTCTAATTCGGTTCGTATATTATTTTGTTCGACCTAATGATTAAAAGTACGCGATAAGTATTTGGAATTGCGTACAGTGTAGGATTAATTATGAATAAAAAATATACCTTGCATAATTGCAAATCTCGTTTAAGATCCTCCACAATCCCGTGATGTTCTTCAAGGATTACATCTCGTTCAGTACTAGACGTAAAAAGAAGTTTATCAAACGTAATTGTCACACATGTAGGTAGTATTAAATATAACCTTAAAACTAACCGTTGTTTCAAAGTATTGTCCTGCTCCGTATCAAGCATTTTATCGCTAGAAGAATTTATATTTTACAATACTATCTCAATCGAGAGTCCATCGTGGAAGATAAATGGTTTATTTAATTTATGTTTACGACGCTATCGGTTGTGTTGTCAACCCGTACGCGGCATACATCAGTGTCAATTCACTATAATGAATAGTAGCACCATCTAGCAGTAATAGCATGTAACACAGTTCACTACAAACTTGGGTGTACTGTATTAGTCTATGCGCCATCTAACAGTAATAGCAGGAACTATTTTTACTACAAACTTGGGTGTTTTCTTACTGATGGCGCCACTAATATCGCTCACTGAGCGGCTTAATGAGCGATGACGATAAACGATAAACGAGGAGTTATTCACATTCGACGCGAAAATATCAACATTTCTACTATTCATTCTTCTATTCTTTTATTTACGATACATTATAGACTGAAGATGCTTTATAAAATGACAAATTTATCGAATTTTGTATAAACGAATAGTCGACAAAATATGATAAAACGTGCTATCTTTATAAATATCGTTATGTAAAAAATCAAGTTTTTATTTCAGCGAGCGTCTCTGTTAAATTGTTCAAAGAAGGCGGCAGTTGGTCCAGTTTTGTAAAGAGTTTTATTCAGATACTCCTGACGGGATCTTTGTTGTTCCGCCAGCCGCAGGTTCTCGTCGGCTATCTTCTTCTTCATTTCCCTGCAACGAAGTCAATGGGAAACTTACTATCGGAATAACTCAACGTACTTATCTCGACTAAATTCCCAACATGAAATCTTACGCTCTCTTCCGGTCCATTTCACGCTGGTACGTGTCCGCGATTCGCGCGTGTGAATTCATCAACCGATCCCATTCCTCGTTCATTCGCTTCTCCTCCAATTTCATTCTCTGAAAAAGAAGCTTTCCTTGAGCATGCCAAATTTTTTCTCCCGTTTGCCGAGACCTTTCACGGTCGCGACAACGCTTGGCTCCGTTTCAATCTTTCGCGGTGGGTCGTTAAAGCGATTTCAAAACAACGCTTCGCGACTTTTACCTCGATTTCAATCATCTGACGTGCTTGCTCCTCCCTGAAAACGTGAAGCTCATCCGCGGACATGCCTTTGTAGCGCGAGGCCAACGGCTTGTGCGGTCCACGGGTGCTCTCGGCCTGCTCTTTGGCTTCCGTGAGGAAGTCCCCGGTCACGTGATTGTAGATTTCCGCTTTCTTATCCTCCTCGTCCCGAAGGGCTTCGCAGTGGCGGCGTCGCTCCTGTTCCTCCGCCTGTACGCAGCGCGAAGGGGTAAGAGAAACGGTGCGAACCATTCGGTCGTTTGACCAAACTCGCGTGCCCGACGAAGCGTGACACTTCGAAGTAAAAAAGTCAAGGACGGGAACGCATGCGCGGAGGATGGGGCAGCAGGGTAACGATCATTCTCTATGTTATTACCGGGACTCGTACTCCTTGACGTCACCGAGTTTGCTCATCGGCCATAGCAACCTCGTAACCGATGTAAACGGTGCTCACCTTCGAGGAAGGTTTATGTTTGTTGCAGCCGGTGCTCGCGTAAAGTACACGCGCTTTATTTCCGACGGGTGAAGGTGGCTACACGATACCCGTTCGACGATCGTCCGTCGAGACGATCTTCAACTGGGCTGCGCAGCGAAGGACAATGCAAATACCTTCGCTTAAAATCCATTGAAGAATGTTTCGACGCACGGTTTGTCTAACGAACAGCTCGAATCTAAAATGATCTTGCTAACCGGTTGCTCAAGAACATCGAAGAGGATTAAATGTAGCCTATCGTGCAGCTATTCGGTATTCGTAATTTGTACGAGTTGAGAAGTTGTAGTTTTGGCCAGGAGATCTAACCCGAGTCCTTGGTATCGAGTATGGTGCCAAACAGGCTGGAAGAAGTGAGTGAATCACGGAGTGAAAATCCTCATAAACTGTGACAAAATTGGAAAACTCGAGAGGTGACGTCCCATTCATCTCCAGGCAGAAAGCATATCGCAAACGATGATATCTCGACGCCGTTGAACCTTGACATTTCACGGCTCGTTGTCGTCCCCGAGAACTAACGAGAGAGGACTCTAAATCAATTAATGCAACGAAGGACCATCGAGCGTTAATTATCAGACTCTTCGCTTTCTCGTCGTCCGCGAACATCAATGATCTACGAGAACAAGAACGTACGATCGGATCTCCATCCGAGCGAAAACATGGTTCGCCTTTCATTTCGTCGTGAGGAAAATAGAATCGTCGGATAATAAGATTCTTATCTGCATCGCAGTTCCCGCCGCTTTGTTATTTCCCGCCGTACCTACGTAGGACTAAATTGGAGAAAGCCTTACCAGGGCCCGATTGAAACTTGCGGTGGCTTCGTTCAACCTTCGACGACATTCTCGCTCCATACGATCTAACGTCATGGCGCGCTTGTCCCTGGAGATGACGGCTTCCTGGTACGCTTTCTCGGCTTCCTGCCGATCTCTCTCCTCCATCGTACGTTCATTCTTTTGCTTCTCTATCCACCATCTCATCTCCTCTTTTTGCGCTTTCAAGCGTTCCTTCGAGTCGGTATCCTCGCCCTCGAATCTGCATTGTCAAAATCAGTAGGCAGATCTGTCAGAATGCAATAGATCTTTTACCGTATCGTTTAGAGTTTCGTCCGTAACGAAATTTAGGATTTATTTTCCGAAGGTTCGTTTAATATCGTTTTCTCCGGAGCTGCACAGTCGGCGGAAGGAAATTGGAAAGGACAATATTTACTTCTGCCCGCAGGCCAAACCGGATTGCGAGTCTCCATCGCAGGGTGCTGAACACGATTTCTTCACGGCATCCGGATCGCACAGATCGTAATCTCGTCGATCCTCCGGTCGCTGGTGGTGTCGTCGGAAATTTTCAATCTCAACGTTTATCTGTCGTCTCTCCTGCGATACATATACGAATGTTAAATAAAGTTAGTTCCGGGAGAAAAATTCTTTCTCTAACCGTGTGATTGACAGTTTTACCTCTTCTTGTTGTTTTTCGAGAAGCAAAGCGAGCTTACTGCCGCGAATCAAATTCTCGTCGAGCTCGGTTTCTCGTGCCTGTTCTAGCTGGCGCTGCTGCTTCTTTTCCGCGACCTGTTTGTCCAAGAATTCCTTGTCTATCTGTGAACGTTACGAGCAAAGATTGTTACGTGTGATCCCGATAAAGTTCTTCTTTCGCGTGTCAGATGAGCATTTTGAACACAAGTTGGATCTAGAACAAACTCACTCCGATTTTCCTGAATCGCGGATTGAATATTCGCTGCTTCCTTTCCTCTTCTATTTGCCTTCGACGCTGGATAGAAGCGGCGAGCTTCAGGTCCTCCTTGGTGACGGTTTGGAACGTCATCATCATGGTGTTGGATTTCGGTACGAAAACGATAGGGACCGAAGCAGGAATGAACGTAGCGACGAAAGCCACGGGAATCGAGTGGAATTCGTTACCATGGAGCGTTTGAACGATAATAATAAATAACTACATCGAATCGCATGTTTCGAACGCTTCCTTTCTGCGCCGCAAACTTCGTCGTATATTTTCGCATATCGAATTAACGAAGAAATGTTAAGAATACAGCAGATTGTCGATTAACGCGAATCGCAGCAATAAATTCGTGACCCACCGGTTAATCGATGTTCGAGGTAAAGTAATTAAACAATGTTTCGTGTATAAAATGTACTCTCTATTTACGTATGTTTACGTCCCTATTTCGTTAATTTTGCGCTTCAGAGCATGGTTTGAAATTGTTTTAGATACGACTGTTCTACATATACAGATAACAGTTTTCAAAGAAACCAACCGATAAGAATATTCAAATTATCCGCTGCACCTTGTAACTGTCAACGGCTTTATTATTTTCTTAAAGATCAATCCGATCCTTTGTTTAAGTTTAAATTTTTTATTGCCGACGACGTTGAGCTCTGACACATATACGAACGTCGATTATTCGGTTGCTCAGGATATTTTCACGACAGAGTCGCGTGAAGAACAGCTGTTGAAAGCGCAAACATGTGTTGCACTATCTGTTGATTCGGCGAAAGTCATTATGCATGACTCGTGACTTTGTGGTCTAGTATTATTGCGCTCGGACGCGTGTACCGATCGTAGCGGCCGTGCGATTGGCGGATGAAATAATGGGAATAAAACGGATTTAGGTGACTCCGTTGTGTGACTCTAGTTACATACGGTGAGTCAGACGAAACGTCTTCGTTTTTCATACAATGAAAAAAACGAGAACGCTACGTAAGTCTGAATCGACCGTCTCGCACGGAGGCCACCGAACGTGACGGTTTATCGAATATTCCGGGGTCGAGTCGTTCGCGTGAATCACAAGAAGCTCGAGTAAATCGTCGTGAAAGCATTGAGAGCCAAAGCCTCTTTACGGCTTCCAGCCGGATACGATGAAAGGATTATTATACGCTGTCCGTGTACTCGAGATGTATTTTAAGGAAATAATCGCCTCGCTTTCTTCCTTATCGATTCGACGCGCGATGTAACGAATCGTTTATACTAGCTGGACAGAAGTCCTTTCGGCGATCGTCGTAGATACGTTCAATACTTATTGCATATTATTCGAAAATGTTTAGAACGATCGAGGATCAGTGATTCATTGCATAAGAGCTTGATAACCATAATATTGTATCAAAATGTTGCATTTCAACCGATGTGTGATATATTTTTTTTTATTACACAACGCAGGTGGATAACAAACTTTCAATGTGTCCATTGTGCCAAGTTGACGGTTAACAACCGTAGGAATTGTTTCTTACCTAGCGAGAAAATACACGTGTCTTCGCGTGACCTATATTCACCGGTATCGGGCCATATGGCGAACGATCGCGAGTGCAAATCACGCAGGGCTCTACACGTCGAACGGAAACGTATCCCTACGGTGAAAAAAGGGTATTCGTGACTACGAAGGTGGACGAACGATCCACAAAAACTACGCCTGTAAAATTTAAAAAATGAGATTTTTAGTCAACTATCGCACCCTCCACGTTTTGCCGGCAATTTTTACTAGCTGTCTAACAAGGAAACATATAAATATAAAGCCGAGTAACAGTTAATCTGCTATAATTGAACATCAGATAATACGATAAGATAATCCTCTGGAAATCGTCTTATCGATCGTCGAACACATTCGAAAACTCCTGAAGTATAAAAGGTGCTGCCAACATGTGCGAATTAATAATACACTCGTTCCTTGTCGTTATCCGATGTCTGGCTCTGATTGTTTAGAGTTTAGAGCTATACATTCAAAACAAACGTACGAGAGAATCGTATAATCGCAATTTTGATTTAGTTACATTTTAACAATTGTAAACTATAATCTGTACGCTCAGTTACAGCGAACGATTACGTAACGAATTACAATTGTAATTGCTCGGAGCCCGACTCTGTTACGGATACGTTCCATGTTGATATAGACGACAAAAAATAAATGTAGAATCTTACGCGCCATTTAAAACGAGTTCGGTGAGAGATTCGCGGAAAAACGCGCTCCAAGTTTTCGCGGCACGGCATACAGCCAACCCAGAGAAGATGCCCCGAAGCAAAGCGAGACTCAACGGCGCCTGCGTGGCCATGTGACGTCATTGGCGAACCGGGCAACTCGTCCGCTAGACATTCAGTCTCGCCTCAACTTCGAAGGAGGTTGTATCAGTGGTGCACGTTTGCTCGATCGAGGAGTATCACGGAAGTAGTCGGACACCGAGGAACACGACTACCGTCACGCTATTGGTCCGAATGCACGTACAACGAAACGGAGTCGAAGAAGAGTGAAGCTCGAGTGCGCGACAACTGCAAAACTGTGAATCGTTGAGAGGATCGTCGAGATCGATCGGAGGTTCCCTACATCGAATAAAGGTGCACACATCTTTTTTTTTTTCTGTTCGTCGTTTATACGCACGATTAAGGAGTACGCGATACGCGCGTCTTCTTTTCCGTTAATCACTCGGAGTACGTCGGTAGATCTACGATAATCTTCGCGTCGTATCGTCTCGATTAATTAATGTATTTTAACGTATCTACGATCTAAACACGTGTTGACAAGTGTACGTAAACTATAGAGGGAAGAAGAAAGAAAAATCGGAGCGTCGTTTCTTCAACGTTTGCATCCAGATAACGCTTCAATTGTTCCACGAGTGACAAGCTCCGATTGAACAACGCGCGTATCCTCGGATTAACTGGTTCCTGGACGCAACGCTCGAGTTCGTTACCGCGAGCGTCCCTTCCAGGCTCCTCTTCCTACTATGCACACCGAGAGCATCGCGATTACTATGAGAGAATGAGCTGCTCGGTGAAGATCTCGTGTGGCAAGAGTTGGAGCGGTTCGCAGCGGAGGATCAACTCTCTCGCGGAGGAAACTACTTGTTCCACAGCTATAAGTGCGACTTGCGCGAACCTAGCCGCACCGTTGGCCACCGTAGCGTCGACGTCCACGTCGACCACGGCCACCACGTCTACGCCGACCACGGCCAACCCCGTCTCCCCGAGTACGATCACCAGTGGTAGCCAGAAAACCACGCCGCCGCGTCCCATCAGGTCGATCGTCGCTAGAAAAGGGGAGGATACCACGAAACTGCTCAAGTACATCGAGGATAACGTCATCGGCAAGAACGGCACGTTCTTCGGACCATTCGGCCGCAGGAAAGGTCAGTGATCAATATAGTCTTTGCCCCTCCGACTCCTCTGGTCCCCTTTCGCTCCGCCCTACCCACCCCTAGCACTCCACAACTTCGCGACCAACGACACGCATCGTTCGCGACGGAAAGAGCCGCGTTTGTCGCGGTTCACCAGAGATAAATATCTCGTTAAGATCGTCAACACCTTCGATTAAAGCTTATCGATCGAATCGAAGGTTTCTGTACTTGTTTCAATCGTAATAGCTCGGTACACGCGGTTTATCGGATGTATGACTCCTTCTCGTGGGAAAGACGGTCGATCAAACCTACGATCAAATCTGCGGTAAACTTCCACCGTGTATGGTCCGCTGTACGAACGGACGAACGAGTTTTTCTGCAAACAGTCGCATGAATTTCGTTCTCCATGGCGCTCCGGCTCAAAGTCTCGCTATGCCAACCTGCAGAGGGATACCCGGCAAGTGCACTCGACGTATACCTTTCGTAACTCGATACTCGAGCCTCGCGCGGAAACCTATCGCGTGCGTGTGTATTGGAAGTATTTCGAATTAAGAGCATAAGAACGCACACGCACTCTGGTCGATCTTCGCGGTGGGCGTCACAGGTATACCAGTCACTATACGAAGAAGGTATCGTTAAATTTGGGAGACCTAACTATAATTCGTGCGTTCAATTGTCATAGTTTTTTAAACGACAATATCGTTAGTACTGTCGTCGGTATCGCGCAAACCGTAAGATTCTGTTGAGAACACCGTCACTAGAGGTCTTTATGCTCTATCGCCCAACGTACGTGCTCGGTTGCTTACGACGTTTGCATAATTAATTCGCATCGAGCATTTTGCTTTCGAGACACTGGTAGGAAAAGAGGAGGGAGGGAGCAGAGAGAGGCACCGGTAATATAAGTGTTCGTCAACGTAAACATCGCTGTTACAGAATCTCGTAAACCGTGCCCTGTTAAATATTCAGGGTTTCGAATGTTTGCGCCGTCGTGTTATTCAAATGTCGTTGGCCTACGATCGTCCCGAAGGCTACCCATTTTTTTTTTACCAATCGAGATTCCACTTAACGATCCACGCTCCAACTGTTTTTCTATACATTTCCCAATGTTCTTGCATTTTTTTTTTTATATTTTATGCTCATTCTGAATCTGAAAGTGTAAGAGAAGCCAATTATGTACATGTATACTTATTTGCGAGCTTAAGTCTGCATTAGAAATGATCTCAGGTTCATCGTTAAAGGGTTCGCGTCGCACAGAATCTTGTTCCCGAGGTTTCGCGCGATTTCTCCTCGATTTACAACCGTCGGGACCGTTCGAATGAGCGCCAGTTTCAACCGGAAGTCAGGCCTGTTTGCCGAAGCCTCTTTCTTCCGGGGCACTTGGTACGCATGGCGCGACGTCATGCATCGTTTGATCGAGTTAGGCGTACCACCTTGAAGAGTTTACTCGGCTATATTTGCCGATCAGAGAAGGGGGAGTAGAGAGAGAGAGAGAGAGAGAGAGGGAGAGTATCAACGTCGATATTTAGGGATCTCGTGCACGCGTTTTCCTGATCGCTAGCCACGGCACAGTGGACCGCGCGCGCCATGCAAATAAATTGCCAGCGTCGCGCGTTTAAACGCTTCTATTAGCGAGCGCTCGCATTCCTGCTACACGCTCGCGTTCTCGATCCGATTTCTGTCGAGAAGCGTCTCTCGCCCGTCTCACGATAATCTCCTCGAGCGAGTCAAGCCGGTCTAGGTGCGGAATAGCCGAGCAAATAATAGATGAACGACGTTTCGTAACTGACTCTAAGATTGCCTAGGTTGTTCGAAATCGTTCTTTTCGCGACAAAATACGTGCTCGGCGTTGAGTATCTTTTGTCTTCGTTTGTAACAATGAAATCGTTACGGTGAAAAATTAAAATACTGCCCGTCTCTATGTACACACGTCATACCCTCTCGAGTTATTGTCCGATCTATGGAAACACTCGATAGCACGTCACAGCGATATGGTATCTTTCAACGAGGGACGAATACAAAAAAATGTTCGCTCGATAGTGTCATCGAATCGATACTACCGTAGTTCGGATCAGGCCAGGTGCAACCGAAACTGACGTACCATTGGGTCGAACTCGGATCTTTTTGAAATAACCTTTATTATTAGCGTTAACAACAGCCTACAGTGTAAACGAAACGCGTGACTCATCGACCATTGGGAAAAGAGAGGATGAACATGGTGGCGAGAAGTCGAAAAACAAGTTTTTCAGCCACGAGTTGACGAACGGGCCAGCCGAGTCGAACGTCCAATTTGCCGATCCAGAGGTTCCCTCCGAAAAAAGCCGACACGCAGGATCGTCCGTCGCATACTTTCGTCCGTGACATATCATTCGGGGCTGCCGCGATCATTCTATTCCTGAGAGGCTGAACTGTCCTGCGGAAAGTGGGTCACGCGTGAACCCTTTTGTGCGTCGAGCTGGCGCGCTCCTCCCGGATCGAATCGGAGCATTCGGTTCCGTCGAACGATGAAGATCCATCGACGCGGATGGCACGAAACGAACTTTAATGACTCACCTCTTTCGGATACGAGCAAGGAAACGATATCGCGAAATGCACGAACGCGATAAGACGATACGTTTTACTACACGAGTCGCATTATCGCAGTGGCCACAGTCAAGGACTCGTCCGAAGAGCACCTCGAAAGAGAACGAAAACGAAAGTTCGTTGTGGCTCGTGCTCGCTCCGGCATCGTCGATGCCATCATCGCTCAAATATAGCGTATAGCCCATGTGGGCAGCTTCGTCAAGTGCAAGGGTAACCGACGATATGCCTCTGAACTTGATACAACTTCAGGGAATGTCGTATCTCTTCCCCCCCGTGACGTTAACGTGTTCCCTCGTCGGGAAAAAGTTTAAAATTCATTATCTGGGAACGACTCCGAGTTGAAATCGAGATCAAGTAGAACTCGCTTTAATGTTCCTATTCGTTAAGTTCACTCGCAAGTTGTTACTACATTCTATTCCGGAAAAGAGGAAATTTCCAAAAGGAAACGAAAGCAAACAAGGACGAGCAGAAATCGAAAATGGCATATGTAGTTGGATCTTTGCCGCGATCCGTTTATTTGCACACGCGAAACGAACTTCTGTTTATGTTTTCGTTGCACGAACTCATATCGCGAGTACCGCTCGCGATAAGATAATCGTTCGAGCAAATTCCGATGCTGGTTATTTCGCGTCGACGCCTAGTCCACTTTCTCCGCCTAGCAATGTTTTTAAACGAGCACACGGAATCGTAATTGCACGATTTAGCCAGTCTAATCTATTTCGTCATTTTCGTTACAGATACAAAATATGTTATCACTCGAGGAAATATAATTTATTGGATTTGAAGCAGCTACAATCTTACGCGAAATGTGTGTCTAGTAAGACGAAACGTTAAGTCGACGGAAGATCAAAAAGATAATAGCTGATTTTAAAGAATAAGAAAAGTAATTTTGGTCGGCTGGATTAGTCAAACGTTCCACCGTGATAGCTGCTGATTATTGCGGCGCAGTTCGTAAACGCGCACCGCGACCCAGTTCGTTGCACGGCACCGACACCTCGTCGACCCAATTTTAGTTTGCCCGACATAATAGTGGAACAACCGCTCACGAATCTGCCGTATTGAAAATAACGATGTTGCACGGGCACGATTCGAGCAATCGTCGCGCGTCGTTCGCTCCATTCCCGTAGAATTACTTTCCAATAGGGGTATTATGGGAAATCGATACAACGTCGTTTCGTTTCAGCAGTTTTGCGCGAAACGCAATAAAAGGGGACGGCATAACGATAAACATTATGCCGAGAAACAACGAACGGCTGTAACGTCGCTCGCGCGGATACGCTTGTATCAGTTTCTCTCGCCGTTCGCGAATTGCCGCTTGAAATTCCGGATAGATCGTCTCGGTGGAACCCCATACGAATACCAATTACACCGTGCGATTACGTGACAATGGTCAGCATCGTCGATAAATAAAATTTGCTTTGTAAATTGTAAGAGTTTGTCGCACTACTTTGCTCGTTCGACGAAAATCTTTTTAAGATCGTGTTGGCAACAGAGAGGAATGGCTGCTTAGCAACGATCCGAGTTGGAAATGGAAGAGTGGATTGTTCATAAAGCAACAAACGAGAACTTTGTTCGCTGTTGTCTACATTTTATCGTCCCGTCTCGATTAACTTCAATATTTATTCTTCCATTGTACGTTAAATAATTCGCAAATGCATAGTGTGTGCGATGTGGCGTATTAGTATTGTTATTAGATAGTACCTACTAGCGACAATTCCGATAGTGTCGTCGATTACATCGAAATTGCTTCGTTCTGATTGCTGCCAACAGCCAGGTTCATACTACTTACGCGATCGTGTTTTCGCGTTACACGTGGATGACTCGTTGTCACGAAATTAATCGTGCAAAGTTGAAAGTCCAATACGTAGCGTGATTTTGAAATTTGCACGTATATAAGCATAGTTGTATCCCTTTCATTCTTGTTGAAACGAAGCTTCTTTCTATGTAAAGGAAAATTGACGAACTTTTGGACACAAACGATTTCCACGACTGAGTTCCTCGGCTCGAAGTGTCCACTCCCCGAGTCGTTGAAAATTATCGAATGTTTGGTGTTCGACGCGATTCGCTCCGCAAGGAAACGAAGATCGCGCGATCCCAGATATCAGAATGTTATCAAGCTCTTTTTTCTCGCATTTCTCGGGTGAAATCATAATACATGCGCGCGCGCGTGTTGTATTCTTTCTATTCTCCTTCGCAGAAAGTCGTGCTCGGATCGACCTCGATTCGCGAATTCGGATTTCGGATAAGCGGCTCGCGATGTAGAATATTAAGGAATCGCTGGCGTGCTGAATTTCATCAAAGAGCGTTTCGCGGCTCGTATAACTGCGTTTCGCTCTTGAACGCTGGAGAGAGACTCGAGTTACATCACGACTCGAGCTCGCGTGGTTCGCAGAAACCGTCTCTTCGTGAGGAACTCGAGCTAGGGTTCCCTA